GCCTGACTCCAGACTGGAGATAATGTTTGGGAGTCATCAGTACATAGATGTTATCTAGAGTCAGGAACCTGGATGAGATTACCTAGGGAGTGAGAGTAGATAGAGAAGAGGGCCAAAGAATTGATTCTGGGCCCCTCCAGTATTTAGAGGTGAGGGATATAACGAAGATCCAGCGAGGGAGATTGAGAATGAAAGTCATTGAGGCAGGGAAATAAAGAGAGAGTGATATCCTAGAATCCCAGCTCAGAAGGTCTTTTAACGATGAAGGAATAATCAACTGGGTCAAATGCTGCTGACGAATCAAGTAAGATGGGGTCTGGAATTTGACCAGGACTAGCATATCTAGTTGTACAGGCTGTTAACTACATAAGGTGAGTAGGGCCCCAAATCTCCCTGACATCCTGGCATGGGGATGAGTCTGGGCAGAAGAAGGAACGCCTATTTAAAATTCATACAAAGACGCCATGTGGGCTAGCTTCCATCCTCATGTTGCTCGCTGGAATTAGAGACATGGAGGTCATTGGTAACCTCAACAAAGGCAATTTGAGTGGAATGGTGGAAGTGAAAATTTGTTTGGATTGGGTGGAAGAGTACTTTAGAGGAGAGGAAATGATGACAATGACTAGAGACAAATCTTTTGAAGAGTTCTTTGAAGTACAAAGGGAAACAGAAGTGGAGGTGGTTGCTGGAGTGGGGAGTGAGGTCAAGGGTTTTTGTTTCTGCAGATGAAAGATGTTATAGCATGTTTGTTTTCTGATGGCAATGATCTGGCGAGAAAAGAGTCCATTGCTGACGTCATGTCCTTGAGTAGATGCAAAAGGATAAGATCTAATGCAGGAATGATGGGGCTTGCCTTAGCCAGCAGCACAGGTTGTTCCTGCGTGGCAGCAGAAGAAAAGGCATCTATAGGGATGGCACAGGAGGGAGGGAGATGTGGAGGTGGGAGCTTATGCATGTTCTCTTTCCAATGTGGTCCCCCCCCACCCCATGAAACAGGAAACCATTTCATCAGCTGAGAGGGAGGATGGGGGAAGTTTTGAGGAAAGCAGAAGTTGTAAAGGAGTTGTCTAGGAGAGAGGAGAGTGAATGGCCTTGGGCATGTAGTCAGATTATAAGGCGTGTAAGAGCCCACTCAGTTTGCTGTCATGAATTTAAAGGGTTAACAGCATAGCTTTATATTGTTCTGCAGCTGTGTTTACTTGCATGGGTATAGGGAAGAGATGACAGCTGGATTTAACCAGGAATGTGGTTTTGTGAGGTAAGAGAAGAAAGGGAGAGGGAGTGTCAGGAGAGTTGAGAGTGTGCTAAAGGGAGTGACGCCTTGAACTCAATGCTGGTGAGAATAGAAGTGAGGACATGAGATTGGTGGGGGGCAGTAAAAAGTCAGTAGGATCAATACATTGTAGGTCCTGGTGAAGTGAGTGAGATAGGAGGAGCGAGTTGGATAGATAGGAGGTGGTAGCTGGAGAATGGGGCACTGATGGGTTACAGAGTCCAACAATGGGAATAAGGGATGATGTAGGGTGGAGAAAGAGATCTGAAGGAAAATAGAGGGCAAGGCATTGAGAGGCCAGGGTATTGCTAAATATTGACACCATAGGGATTTTTGACAAAGGGGTATTGGAGAAAAGTCACAGGGAGGGGAAAGGCAAAGCCTTCAAGGACTGAGGAGGGTGAGGTCTGTGGCTGAGGTGGCTGCAGAGGTGTTGTGGGCCAGTGACAAGAGGTTCAGAAGCTGGGAGGCCCCTGTTACAGGGCAAGCTTGGCTACTGTATGACATGGGACTGGGGTGACAGACAGTGGGCAGAGCAGGCTGTGAAGGTGAGGATCATTTGAACAGGAAGGAGCTAGGCTAAATCACCAAGCAGAGAGACAAGTGAGGACATGTGCTCTGCCCCTGCTGCTAATACCACTGTGACTACTCCCACTAATAACAGCAGCTCCTCCCCTTTGGGCTTTTCCTGTGTGTCAGACTTGTGGGAGGGAGGGAAGGAGGTAGCAGGGGTAGCGGAGTATGCTGGTTAAGACTATAATCCAGCCGGGCTTGGTGGCTCAGCCTGTAATCCCGCGCCTTTGGGAGGCTGAGGTGAATGGATTGCCTGAGCCCGCGGGTTCGAGACCCGCCTGGGCAACTTGGTGAAACCTCATCTCTACAATAAATCAAAATGAGCCGGGCGTGGTAGCGCGCGCCTGTAGTTCCAGCTACTTGGAAGGCTGAGGTGGAAGGATCGCCGGAGCCCAGCAGGTCGAGGCTGCGGTGACTGGGAGCGGCCACTGAACTCCAGTCTGGGTGCCAGAGTCTCATTCCAACTCAAAAAAAAAAAGACTATAATCCAGACAACTTGGATTTGAATCTTGGCTCTTTCATCAAACGAGAGTCTGCCCTTGAATAAGTTATCTAACTTCTTTGTGCCTCAACTTCTCATCTCTAAAATGGACATAATTGGGGCAGTTAGGAGGATTAGTTTGAATTAATAGTTTACAATGTGCTTTTCATAGTTCCTGACATGAGAAATTCCTGACATGTTTTATATATATATATTTTTTGAGTTGGCATCTTACTCTGACGCCCTCCTGAGCTCAAGTGATCCTCCCACCTCAGCCTCCTGAGTAGCTAGGACTACAGGTGTGTGCCACCACCCCCAGCTAATTATTTCTTTAAATTTTAAAAAATTTAAATTCTTTAAATTTCTTTAAATTTTTCTGTAAAGAAAAATTATTTCTTTAAAGTTTTCTGTGTTGCCCAGGCTGGTCTTGAACTCCTGGGCTCAAGTAATCCTCCTGCCTCAGCCTCCCCAAAGTACTGGGATTACAGGCATGAGCCACCCACCACACCTGGCCCCTGTTTGTTATATTTTTAAGGATTTAAAAATTATGCAACGATCTTAGAATGATTATTTTCCTTTTACTTATATCAAAATGAGGTGGAAGGGTTAAGGGTCTTGCTCAAGGTCATAGGGCTATTGAGCAGCAAAGTCAAATCTAGAACACCAACTTGACAGACTCCAGAGTCCTGGCTTGTAACTGCATTGCTTAACTGCCTCTCTGGATATGCAGGTGAAGACTTTGCTTTCTAGGAAGGCTGTAAAGGAGGGAGAGGCAGGTGGGTCCTGTGAATCCCAATGGGAAATCAGCAACTGGAGTCTGAGTGGTCGGCAGAAGTACTGCTTGAGAACACGCTTGTGACTGGTGATTGCAGGCCCTCAGCCCGGTGCTCTGTTGTCTGCTGTGGGACAACAGCCTGGCTTCCTAGGCCCATTTCAGGGAGAGGTCATATCATATCCCTTAGGTACCTGAAGGTTCTGATTACAGCCAGAGAGCTGAACCTTCCTGGGACTTTTTCCTCCTTGCTTGTTTTCTAGGAGACCTTCCGTGAAGTCAGTTAGCCCTTTTGCTCCTCAGTTTCCTTATCTGTCAAATGAGGATACTTTACCTGCCCACTTCATGGATTTTTTGAGAGTTTGAGTAGACCATGGGTGAGAAAACATTTGAAGAGCATAAAGCAGTACCCACATTTAAGGTTGTGGGGTAATCCTAGCCCCCATTACTATGAGGATCCAATGTGGAGCTCTCATACCTCTGCAGCTCTCTTACGTCGGTGATGCCTGGTGTCAGATATCATGACCTTATCCTGCTATTCCACTGCAGTCTACAGAGATGCTTGGAAGCTCATTCCCTTTTCTGGGTTTTTACATTTCTCCTGGTTAGAATAAAGTAATAGTTGAGCATCATCTGGGGTCCCTGGGAAATTGTCCTTGTAGATTTTTATTTTAAAGAGCCAGTGTCTGTGTCTGAGGTCCACAGTTGTTCCAGCTCCCATTCTGGGAGCTCTGCCATCTTTCTGGTTTCAGCCCTTGGCACAAGGCAGGCTTGGGCTCCTGTGCCTGGGGAGCCTGTGACTGCCTTCTCTCATTAGTACACAGCTTGGTTACGTGCTTGCCCTGTAGGGACAGGGAGGCAGCTGACGCCTTCCTCTGGGTGTCCTTGTCTTTCTGGTCCTTCTTTGGTGTGTGTGTGTGTGTGTGTGTGTGTGTGTGTGTATGCATGTGTACACACACACACACACACCACACTGGGGGTTGTGTGAGCCCCAGAGGGTAGGCCTCTTGCCAGCTGCTGAAATTCTTGTTTCTGTAGAATTGAGTGGACCACCCAGTCGTTTCCATTCTCTGCCAGCTGCCAAGCTCTATAGCTGGGTCCCTATGCCAGGTCAAAACTGGGCTCTGCTTCGGTAATCCAGCACTTCCATTTTGAGAGAGATGGGAAACAGGAGTGAGTGAGTGGGTGTGCTGGATGCAGGAGGGTGATGATATTCTTTTTGGCAAGCTGTGCCAGAATTGGCCCAGCTGCTTGGTCTTCATTCAAAAGTAGGACTAACCCCTAAATATCCAATAAGAGAACTCTTTATTCTTGGATCTAGACCCTACCAGACCTAGCAATCAATGTTTTAAATCTGAAAAATGGAAATAATTCGACCCCATAGGTTCTTTATGTCAAATGAGAAATAAACTTTTAAATAGCTCACTATGTACTCATCAGAAGCAGGAAGTGACCTAAGATAGCGATTCTTGAAGTATATTGCAGAATGAGTGTTCTTTAAAAAAGAATAACTTGCTAAGTAAGTTTGGAAAACACCAGATAAACAATGGTAAGTAGGTTTCCTGTCTGTAGGAACCACTCAGGTCCTTCAGGTACCAATAATATGCATGGCGAATCTCCAAGGGGGATATATGCCACATTTCTTAAACTGTTAACCAGACTTTCTCAGTGGAGCATTTTTTTCAAGTACCATTTCTACAAAACACACCTTGGGAAATCCTGATCCACGTCAGAAGAATATTCGTTCTTTTCTTTTTCTGTGGAATTGTAAAGAATGGTGAATTAGTGAAATGCGCAGGGTTGTTAAATGTGGGTCCTGAAGAACAAGGGTGTTCACATCACAATCAATTGAAATGAGTGCTTCCTGCCCTGAAATGCCTTTCTCCCTCCTGTCCTCACAGCTTCCCTTTGAATTGGAGATTTACTACATCCAGCATGTTATGCTCTACGTGGTACCCATCTACCTGCTTTGGAAAGGAGGTAAGACCAGCAAACCACATCTCTATGCCACCCCCACACCTCCCTTCTCCCTTCTGTTTTTGAGAGTCATGACCTTTTGGGTGTCTACTGGAATCTTGAACTGCTGCTTGGCTGGGTCCCTTCGGCATGCTTCATGCCTGACACCAGGCATGGGTGGGGCCTGCTAAGAAGGTGGGGGCTTTTCAGCACCATCCTTTGTTGGGTGAGCATGGTGCTGTTGACTGCCTGTCCTAGGGCCTGGGCTCTGGGTTTGTTGTGGTGTTGGGCTTGCATGGAGACCCCTCCATCACTCTCTTGTGCTGGTGCCTGTCCCTCATCTCAGTGTGCAGTGTTGGGTAGAAGGAGAGAATGAAGACTCAAGAGAACTAAAGATGATATGGGGGGGGGGGAAGAAGTCCAGGGACTAAAAGGATTATAGGATTAAGGGGGGAAAGCAAATTAAATAGCAGGGACCTTCATGTAAAATAAACCATTGAAAACCTTCATTTGGTTAAGAGGGAGAGGCCACCAACCTGAGAGAGACAGCCTGGAAAGGAAGCTTATCTATTTGTGACCTCCCAATAACCCCTTAGGTTATTCCTTCCCTCTATTGTGTAGCTGACTTGAAGGAAAGGGGAGTTCCTATGCCTTCTAGGCTTGTTGTGAGAGCCACTCCTTCTCAGTGTTCTTTACTTCCCAAACCAGAAGCCATTCTCTTTCAATTTTTAGCCACCAACCTCTCTATCTTGATTGCTGGGACATTTGGGAGATTAATCCTTCCCTACTTCACCCCAGGCAGCAAGGGTTTTATTTCTACCATACTAAAAGTGACACGGAGCCACATGGGCCCTTGAGCCCACTGGAAGATGGTCTGGAAGTTCTGCTGGGCTCTGCTGCTTCCTGGCTTATGCTTGTATCCTCTAACTCAGGCATTCTGGCAAATCTTACCTTTTGGCATGAGGTAGCCCCAAGAACTGGCCCAACTGGGAACATGTTGGAGGTTGGGCACTATTACTTTCCATGAAGTCTGCTTATAGTACAGAAATTTGCCTTCTAGGTCCTGGTTTCTATCCATTAGGACTCTTCGGTAGACTTGTCTAAATATTCATTGGGGCTGTTTTTACCCTGTGCAGCCACTTGGGGTCTCACAGTGTCAAAGAACCCTTCCTTTCAGTTTGCTGTAAAAGCACTTTTTTCATTCTAGGGAGCCAATTATGTATATCAGTGTGAAGAAGAAAACAGAACACTTAGATGAGATTTTCATGGACTATTTTAAATATGTGTCATTAATATAAAAACATATTAGCAGTATTTAATCATTCTCACCTGTAATCATAAGAAAACAGAAGATAAATATTCTTACAGAGAATAGCAGAGTTTAAGATTTCATTTTCAAGTCAATTTTTGCCATTGTATTAATGTTTAGAGGTCTGTTATACTAATTTTTTTTCATTTCCATACAGAGTTAACTAAAGAGCTATTTCAAGCATCCATGTCTGTAAAAATATATTTTTAAATAGTTTCTTTTGTCGTAGCATATATATGTGTGTGTACATGTATATATGTGTACACACACACACACACACACACACACACACACACACACACACACACACACACACACACAGTTTTCCCTACTAAATTTTAAGGGAAGTCTGAAGTTCCAGTATTCAGGAAACTGGTGCCATTTTTCGGGTCTGTCTTCTGTGCCACAGGAAACAACTTACTAATACCTTTCAAATCTTAGCGACTCTCATTCTGAACGGAACCAGGCAGGCAGGCGTCCCAGAGCTCCAGTCCCCTGCCACTCATTGTTAGTTCTGGCCATATCTGCATGACTGTTATTTAAACCTACCTGTACTCTAATGTCATCATAAAACTCTGTCAGGTAGTTGGGCTAGACTAGTCTGACATGGAAAATACCAAGTAGCCACCTCTCCTCCCTTCAAAAGAATAATCTGGGAAACCACACCTTCTAGACCTGGCTGATTCCGCTGAAGCCTTCTTTTAGACCTATTGCTGTGCTGTTTGGGGGGAAGTAAGGCTTCTGAATCTTAATTCCAATTAATTTTCTACCCTTAATGATTATTTTCCCTCTCCTTTGGTGCCTGGCCTTAAGAGGGCTGTAATAATAATACCCACAGTAAATATAATGACTAGTTTTTATTTGCTGTGTGAGATACTGTGCCAGGCATGTTTTGTGTATTTTCCCTTCACAAATAGTCTGTTGAAGAACCCTTCTTCTACAGAGGAGAAAATCAAGACTCAGAAACATTAGGTACCTAGCCCATAGCCATAAGGAACAGAACTGGGATTCAAAACCCCGCCTAAACTTCTCAAACTAGTGCTCTTTCCCATATATCATGCTGCCATGAAAGTTGAATGTCTGTTTTCTAACCATATCAGGCTGAGAATCCTCTCCACCTCTAGCCCTGATTCAGCCCCTCACTTAGAATGTATTTGTTGAACACCCACTATGTGCCAGACATTTGTACTAGGGAATAAGAGATGCACCAAAAAGTCACAGTGCTTCCACAGAGTCGCTGTCCATGGGAGAAGACAGACATTTACAGCGAGATAAGTGCTGCAGAGGGTACTGTGGGAGTGAAATATGATTTCTGAAGACCAGTTAACTTTTTCTTCTTCTTTACCATTTTTTGGGAAGTATTATAATAGTATCTGCTTAGAGCAGATCCTGCTGGTAGCCCAGATCCCTAACTGGTGAGGTGATAGATAGTAGGGCTGTAATGAGAGAGATGATGTGTTTTGTTACTACTAACAACGTATAGACACCCTGGGTCAATCAGGATTTAGTTTGCAAGACAGGTGGAGTGATCTCATCAAGCTGACCTTTGATTGTAGGCCCTGGATGAGAGCTTCCACTGCCCTCCCAATATTTGATGGGCCTGTCACCTGTCTGGTCAGCTTTGAGCTAGTGTGAGGGTTAGCTCCCATTCCAGCTCTTTGCTGCCATCTACTGTTCACTTGGGGGAATTGTGAGCATTAAGAGAAAAATCTGGATTTCTTCCTAAGGCTAGTTTCACCTTTGGTCCCAAACCTTGGATCTAGGCCTTAAAGGGGAGGAATGGATCTGGAGTGAGCAGTGGGGAGATTATTCTCCTGTAAACCAAGAAATCTGAGGGTTTGGGGCTTTTGTTCCCTGGAAGTCTCTTGTAATTTTTGAGAAATAAATGGCTTAGGAGTTTTTATTCAAGACAAGGCCAATCTCCTATAAATATCTTCCATACCCAGGAACCCTATTTTCCAGAGAGGCAGGGTCTTGCTTGAGCACATAGGGCCTTTTCTTGTGGTTTGCGGTGGTGGTTGGTGCCTCATGGGAATCCTATCCCTCCCTCATCCCTGCAGACACAATGCACAGGTCCTCTCTGGTCCATGCTGCCCTTTTCTTCCTCTGGCCTGCCTCTTCTTTGCCCTGTTTCCTTTCCTTCAAACTCTTTGCCTTTGACCCTCTAAAACTATGTTCATTGTTTCTCTTTTTGTTTTACAGCCTGGAGTTTAAATTTAATGTATATTAGATATTGACAAATTATAATTGTATATCTATATAGGGTACAAAGCGATACTATGACACACACACACAATGTGGAAACAAGCTATATTTCTTACAAACCACCCCCACCTCCATTAGCAGCTTCTCATGGAACACAGTCCTGTCTGTAGCCCACAACTTCTTCTAATGGAAGCTACACATTCTGCCCTGCCCCACATGCTGCCTGGCTCCCCACTGTCTCTCTAGATCACGATTTCATCTCCACCTTATGTGAAAATGCTTTTTCCTTTACCATTCTCTCTACCTCTCTTTTCATCACCACCATCAATTGACCTCTTGGTCACTTCCCCTCATTCCTAGATGTCTCTGGCCCATGGCTCTCTATATTTCCATTACAACTTGAGCCAGCATCCTGAGAGACTTCCAGCAAGGATCATTCATCCACCCCCAGCTTCTCAAAGTGTGGGCTTTTTAATTGCAGGGATCCTCTTCTCTTCAGTCACCTGGACCTTGTTTTTCTGCACAGTTCCTCTGTCTGAGATCATAAGCTACTCTCCCTTCCTTTGATCCAAATCTCCTCTCCTCTAGTCTCCTTTCTTCCCTTACAGCTTTTATCATCACCTGTTACTGGCACTTTCCTCTTACTAGCTCCTAAAAGTATCTCATTCCTTTTTCTCTTCCAGCTATGAGTCCAACCCCTCTTAAGTGTTTCCAGTCTTGTTCTACTGGAGAAAATCTCTCAGGTCATTCTGATTACAAGCACTAAAATTTCCTGGTCTCTATTGTAATTGTACTTTCAACACCATTGCTCAGTTCTTTTCTATCTGTGGTCAGTTTTTCCACACATTGCCTTCGTGAATTCTGTGCTAAACCTTTAGCACCCTTTTCAAACTTCCTGTTCACTCTATTCAAACTTCCTGTCCTTTCCACTCTCAGTATACCCTCTTTTTTCCACAAATGATTGAGAAAATTGAGATTTTTGGATGGGAATTCCCTCAATACCTTTCTCTACTTCTGGAAGCTTCTTTACCAACATCCATTTTTACGTTCCTCCCTCTGATCTGGGAGAAGTGGTATTCCTCCTGTTGGTGGACAGTCACACCCTGTGTGATTACCTCCCATCCCTGTCAACTTCTCTGGAGCCTCATCCCATCAATTAGTTACTTGTTGGCCTGTATTTTCAACCTTTCTTCACTACTGACTTTTCAGCCAGTTAGGATGTTCATGTCTTTCCCCTTATGAAAAACCTTCTCTCGATTACATACAACTCTGTCTTTCTTCTTTCTTTCACAGTAAAGCATCTTAAAAGAATAATCTGAGCAATGTTTTCAAAACTTTAGTTCTATGAGCATGATCAAGCAGTGTTTTCAAGCAATGTTTTCAAAACTTTAGACTTTTTTTTTCTTTTTTTTGAGTTGGAATCTCACTCCATCGCCCAGGCTGGAGTACAGTGGCACACTCATGGCCACCACAGCCTTGACTGTTGGGCCTAGGCAATCCTTCTGCCTTA